TATGTAAGTATGTAAGTATGTAAGTAAGTAAGTAGGTGTTTATGAATGTGTGTATGTATGTATGAATGTATGTATGAATGAATGCATGGATGTATGTATGAATGTATGAATGTATGAATGTATGAATATATGAATGAATGTATGTATGTATGTATGTATGTATGCATGTATGTATGCATGCATGTATGTATGTATGTAATTATGTATGAATGTAATTAGGTAATTATGTCTGTATGTATGTATGTATGTAATTATGTATGTAATTATGTATGTATGTATGTATGTATTTATGTATGTATGTATGTATGTATGTATGTATGTGTGAACGTATGTATGTATGTATGTATGTATGTATGTATGTATGTATGTGTGTATGTATGTATGTATGTATGCATGGATGTATGTAAGTATGTATATATGTATGGCTGTATGTCTGTCTGTATGTATGTATGCATGTATGCGTGTATGTCATGATGTATGCATGATGTATGTCATGATGCATGTCATGATGTATGTCATGATGTATATACAACAGTAGGCATATAGTTGATATGTGTACATGTATGTGCATATATATATATATAGGTACATATTGTACATAGTGGGTCATGGTTTACCCAACGCTGGTTGGGTTGATAGCTACCAGCAAGCGAATAATTTGCCTTTGCAGTAGCCATATAATGCTAGTTCAAACGCACAATTTAATGGTACATTTTTTGTTGATGAAATAGTTCATTTTGCCGATTCAACAATCTTTGCTGCTGAAATGCATTGTCATATTGTTTAAAATATTTTAAAATCAAAAAAGAACCTGTTTTGCTGCTTAGACTATCAATAATCAGATTCTCATTTCTGGCAGGTTTCAGAAAATTGGTCTTACAGCCATTTTCAGCCACACTCGACGATCATATTGTTCCTTACAGTACACACCCCAATAGATCCCCCTAAATCATATTCGCATGTTATCCCTGCAGAATAGCATGTGTTCTATTCCCATTCCATCCCCAAATGGTTGGTTTTATGATGTTTTATCCCATCAGTATCCCCAGAAATGGGCAAATACCTTGCGAATGCAGCATAGGATCTCTCAGGCGCCAGTTGCTCTGCAAAGCAGAAGCCAAAGCAGCACCACCTGCGACTGAGGGCGTGCCATCTTTACCAACAAAATTAGGGGTTAAACCATGTTAAACCAACAACCCACAAGAATCAAAGTTTAAGAGAAAGGTGAATGAACCAACAAACATACCGATTCAAGGTTTCAGGGGGACCAAGACAAGGCACTCAAACAATCAGAACGGAGGCAAGAGGACCACACATGTTGCCTTCACCTAAAAAAACAATGTAACCAGCATAATCCGCGTGGATTTGACCAATGAAAATGGTTGAACCAGACAACATTATCAACATTGGGTTTCAATGTGAAACACACCAGCTGAATGGGGGATAGTCTCATTCATCAGTCTGAAACACCCAATGTCAAAATAGCCCAGCATCCTAAACTCTAAACCAAAAGACCTCGGATGACATAACTGACATGCATCGTTGGGGACATAACACTCCTGGCAACTGGGATTTGGAACCGGAAAACCTCAGACGAAGGGAAGCACAAGCATGCATAAAGGATGAGAAAAGGTAAAGGAGCAGCAGAACAAAGAGATAATAAACGAGAAAAGGTAAACATTGGTGAAAAGCTGGGGTGAAACCGGTCTGAGACTGAAACGGCCTGAATTGCATGTGTTTCTTGGTGGGGGGATCTGCTCAGAGGGAAGGATTTCTATTGCTTTAGTTTCCAACCCTTGAAGCACTTTGTCATTGGGCACATTCCCAGGTAAGGATGGATATTTCAGAATGCCATCATTCTTCATTGGTCAAATCGAATGATTTGAATGTTTGAACCTGTCTGGAGTGCTAGATGTCCTGAAAACCATCCAATATCCCCCAGATTGGCGGATAAAATCCCCGTCGTTTCCAAGAAGTGCATTGACACGACAAGTCCGCTCCAATGCCTGCGCTGCCAATGCAGCTGTTCGGAAAAGCCAATTCCTGCACACCGAGAGGGGCGCCATATTTTCAGACAAACCCATCTATCTAGGGTGGCCCTGCTGCTTGCGAAGCGATTCAGCTAATCTCATTTCCACCAACTTGCGCTGCAGGCGTGTTTGCAATCTACTCTCTGGTAATTTAACAAGTTGCTACGCAAAATCCTTCAGTTACTATAGGTAATTTTAGGTAAATCTGGAACAAAGATGAGCCCTGGCTCCCATGGCAAACTGTAAAAAAGATAATTACCGGAGGTTCCAGCTATGTACGACCCTACTCAAGCTGGACAAACACACAAACCCAGCTAACCATCTGGCACTGGAACCTCAAGCAACCTTAAACAACCTGGCTGAATTCCACAACTTATATAACCAAGCTCAGGAGTTCTGCAATATTTGGGGATAAACAATTTGACCTCAATCATCCATTTCAATAGGATTTTCCACAAAAAACTATTCGGTTTGGGGTAACCCTGCCCTTGAAACCATCGCCGTTACGTACAACTTCCATCGTGACATCGTCTTCACCGCGTCCTCCAGGCAACAATTCTTTTGCAACGCGGCAGCAAAGGCTGCAGCGCCGGCATCCTGCGTGGAATTTGTGAACAGTAGCATTCTCTCTATCTGTCTATCTGTCTATTTGTCCATTTGTCGATCTATCGATCTATCGATCTATCCATCTATCTATCTATCTATCCATCCATCTATCTATCTATCTCTCTATCTCTCTATCTCTCTATCTCTCTTTTGGGTGGTTTCCATACATGGGGATACCCCCAAAATGGTTGATAGTGGACAATCCTATTGATTAGCCAAATCTCAAGATATCTCAGTTGATCCTCAATAATCTTAAATCTCAATAACGTCTTTATAGATGGTGAAGAATCATCTTTATAGATAGATAGATAGATAAATAGATAGATAGATAGCTAGATAGCTAGCTAGATAGCTAGATAGCTAGCTAGCTAGATAGATAGATAGATAGATAGGTCGATTCACAGATAGATTAGATAAATTAGGTAGCTAAATTTGCCCATCTCCATCTTCCCATGACTCTGGGCTCCCGCAGGTCGTTGCCGCCCAACCCCAAGCGTTTGGGCCCTCGTGTGCCACGACCGCAGAGCTGGGCCGCCAGCAAGACGGCACCTACACCGGGGCACCCGGGGCACCCGACACAGACATGGTGGATTTTCTGAGAAAAGATAAGGCCATCCATGGATTTTAGGTGATTTTATAGTTTCTGCTTTTTGTTTATATATATATAGTTATATAGTTATTTGATCTTGATGTTACTTGATTTATACTGACTTTTTGTGATTGAGTGAGATTTTGCATGTGAATTTAGGTGAAATAAAGTGATTCAATAGTCAGCGAGATATAGATGATTTATTTAAAGATTATCCAAATGACTATTGAAAGTGCTTTAAAGTCATCTATGGAATTTGTGAAAAAAAGGATATTTTAAGTGACTTAAATGGATTTCGTGTGATTGAATGTGTTTTAAAGTCAGCCATGGGTTCTTTGTTTGTAGTCTATAGTGACATGAGATTTGTCTCTAGTTATCTAGAATGATTTCAGTTGAGTCATAGTTATTTATTTGTACTGATTTAACGTGGTATAACTTGATTTGATTTGATCATGTGATCTTAACATTGATTCATAATAACCTTCTAAGCATTGTCCAAGTTAGATTCAACAGCCATATGTGTTCTTTAATCAGCATCTATTGTATTTTGTTCAGAAGGGCCTAGTTATCTGAGAATAGTTCAGCATGGAGTGAAGTTATCTATGATTTATAGCAATCTAAAGTGTTTGTATAGTCAGAGTGATACAAGGAACATCACAGTGATCTATAGACATCTTTAGGTTTGTTAGGCTTTCAAAAGTCAAGACACATCAGGATTAGAGGGTTATTACCAGGAAGCATGTGGGATGATCCCAGCGGCAAGCCATCTGTACTGCCAAGAGCCATCTGCCATTGAGTTCTTTAAGCATCATCACACGGAAATGGGAAATTCATTGGCCAACATGGAGTGCTTTTGATATGTGTTTGTTTTGGGTTCTTAAACTTTTGGCGACCGACCTGGAACTGCAACTGTGCAATTCGAAGTGCGATTTTCCATCGGACATGGGCTTTGTTCTAATTGGTTAGTAACTGGCGGCTTAAACAAACTTCTTTATAACCAGGTCATGTATAATGGTTAGCATACTTTATGGGTTAAATCCACTTCCGGTCACCCCTTGACCCATGGAGCACAGCTGGCCAAAAAACACATCCCCTAGTTGTGAATGATGGGTCTATATATTCCAATTACAAACAAACAAAACATGTCGATGTTCAAAGGTTCGATTACCAAAGGGTAGGCTCCAATCCAATTCTGATGGGTATATACATCTATATATAATATCTACAATATCTATAATATCTATAATATCTATAATATCTATAGTATCTATAATATCTATAATATCCATATCATAATATCTATAATATCTATAATGTCTATATATATACACATGTATGCATATCATATCTATCACGCTCTAACTTCCGCATGGCCTTTGGTGACTGCTGATAACGGTTCCGTCATGGCTGCCAAGGTTTTGCCCTTTCATGCCTTGTCTTTGGAAAAAAAAATCGAACTAAATACAAGGATGTGGAATTCTGTTCTATATTGAATCTAATATTGAATCTAATATTGAATATTCTGTTCTATATTCTGTTCATGTATATTCAATCTAATATTGAATCATCAATTATCATCTCCAAATGTTGAGCTTCGTACAAGGAGCGGTTGCTTCTTTCCGGGTCAAAAGGTGCCGTGGAGTAGCCACCCAAAAAAACTCCACCCCAACTCAAAACGCTGTGTCCGAGGATCCTTCAGCAGTGACCTGCCACGACCATGCCATGAAAGGATCATTAGATATGGATAGGATTGGATAGGTATGGTATGGGTCAAAATTCTGTACCCCAATAATTGGATAATTCAAAGAATTGATGAAGTGACTTACATCTGTGGTCACCCAGGTCTTTAATTTTCACCCATAGCCCATACCCATTTAGTTATGTAGTGTTAATTAATATTATGTACAGGAAAAGAAACCACATGAAGGTTGTCGAAAGGGGGGAACTTAAACACAGCCGCAATTAATTCGGAAATGTGTTTGCTCAATGGATCATATATTGTATCCAGTTTTGATTTATGGTACATGTATATGGAACCAGCTGGAAAACCTATCAGGATTGAAGCCAATTTTGGCAACATACTGGTAATTGTTGCAGAATGAAAAAACACGATAGGGAAATGATTTCGGAGTGGTGGCATTCCATGAGCAAAATCAAAACTTTCAAGCTGTCGCAAACTCTACATGTAGCCTCAACACTGTTTCAAACCTACAAACGCATTCGATGTTGCCCACATGTAGTTCCGGCAAGCGTATCAAAAAAAAATATTATTACAATCAAAAAAAATATTCCCCAGCAATCAAAAAACATATTATTACAATCAAAAAAAATATTCCGGCCAAACTCATTGTTCCCCTTACCATTTTCTATGGTTTTCCTCAGTTTTTTCCATGGTTTTGCTTCAATTTTCCATGGCGTTCATCAATTTTCCCACGTGTTTTCTTTAGTAGTGTTCAATCCGGTTCATCGCTTTTCCACAAAATTCCGCAGATTTCTTTGTTTTTACACTGCTGAAATGATGATCTGCACATATCTGCACGACAAGACTGACAATGCTTTTCATGTTTTTGTGCCAAAGACCATCACAGTCGGAATCACTGAGCATACTGAGCCATTTGTTGATTTCTCGCCTGCCAAGTTTTCAGACTTTGGCGATGAATCACTGCAGCGTCAACTTCAAGAGAATCACTACCAAATCATTCTGCGAAACTCGCCGAGTTTGGAGGAATTTGTGATTTGTCAGTGACCCCTCCCACCTAACTGGAAAGCATAGGTAATGTACTGGAGAAAGTCTTCGCCAAAAAAAACAGTTGAATATTACAGATCAAAATTAGGGATGCTGGTTCTGTACCTTCTTCTGTTTATTTAAAAGGAGGTCTCACTTTCATTTGTTTGTGTCATCATCAAATCCCATTGAATACCATTGTACAATATAATAAATATAATAATATATACATATAAGTCCCATCAGAGTCCCATTAACGTCTCAATAAAACCCATTAAAGTCCCAGGACAAATCCCCTTGGTTCGTGCATTAAGCTTGTGATATTACCTCTGACTTTCATAGCCACGGAATTCAATCAGTGCCTGGTTGAATCCCAGCTCTAGAACTTGAAGCTGCAACCTCATGACATGCACGGAACACTTGGGATACTTGGGTTCTGGGTGGTTTCAAGCCTCGATTTAAACATATTTACAAGACTTCTATATTACTCTATATCTATATTGCATACAAAAAAACACCAAGTAGCTGGGAGGAACTACTGGACAAAAACTATTGTGAACATGAACATTATACATTCTACAATTCTATATATGAAACAAAACATACTAAAACTGCCGGATTCTTAAGTATTGATGATTTTCAAGTGTCCTTCTCTCCACTGTTCTTAACATATCTTAACATATGGCACTGTGTTCATCAAGACCACACCACCGACACGTTGTTGCTTTGACAACGAGTAAACTGCTGATGTTGAGCTTAATACCCTGATGGTTGCTTCTGTCCCCGAATTTTCCTGTCCATCAAAATCCGTGTCCTGTCATTTGTTGATTTAATCGTGATGTTTAGTGGTTCAATTCCCATTTTCGCTGGTCGATTGACACGAACTAATGAATTCATTGGTTCTAGTTTCTTACTTTTGGTAGAACATACCATTTTGGTAGCAAAATCCAATTACTGTGGCTTACAACCTGGTCGTACTGATGGTTGGTTGGTTGGTTGGTTTGTTAGTTGGTTGGTTGGCTCAAATCCACATATCAGTTGGCGCATGTTTTAATTCCAATCGTTATAGGTTATTGAAACGTACATGTTATTCAAACATAGCTAGGTTATTGAAACGCAAATCATTATGTTTTAATTCCACAACTGTTTGATTTTGTTTGGATTCATACACATGCTGGTTTTGTGGAACAATTCATGCAGCAAATTGTGCCCGTGGATTCATGTGGATTCCCTTCGACGGGGAAAACCTCCCAATCTGGTGATTCTTGGGTGTGGGCTCCAAGAATCATGCCTCTGGTTTCTCCGGCTCAGGAACTCCCATTGTACTGTGGGTAAAACAGTGCCATAAACCACCCATTTCAAAATGATTTATACCATTTATTTATATCTATTTATGGTGTTCTGGGGAATGGTTTGTTTTTGTTTTACCCACATGAATCAACATCAGGTTCAATGCCACCGACATGTTGTTCTTAAATTCAACTTGTCCCTCGATTTTTGCTTGTTGACATCATTCAATCCCATTTTGTTGTACTGTTTCGAATCCAAGAACCAAATGAGTTTTTGCTGCTTAAAATCCAAATGTTGAAGAAACCTGATAAATTGGTTTATGATGTGTCCTTGTAGACCCACCTATGGATGTGTATTGGTATACAAGAAATTTATGCCAACACATCACCAACACATCACCAATTGGTATAGATTTGTCCTTAAGTAGCCTTACCATACTAAATTTGGTTAGTCTAACCCACTTGGCCCACTTGGCCATATTTGATAGATAAATAATGATAAATACTGAGAACTATAGATTAAACAAATATGATAGATACATAACTATAAACCTCTAGGCTGTTTAATTGGGAGGCTAAAATATTTCTAGTATTAGATTGTGACTATTGGAGACTGACCAAGTGACGCCACCAGCGCCATAGCGCCTTGGTCCTTGACGTCGTTGTCCTCAAGCCGCAGCACCTGGGAACGCAACGCGGCTCCGTTGCTGTAATGTTCGGTGAACCAATCCCGAGGTGAACGATTTTTCTAGAACAACCAACCAAAAAGATTCTTTTGATAGGAATTTCCTACGAATTTAAGAGGTGGTAGGCTGTTAGGATTTACTGCATGCAATAACCGTTTCATTAGTTTAGCAGGATTTGAGTTTTCCATAAATCAACTGTTTTGGGGATCCCCGTTTTACCAAACCTCCCTGTGGCAGGCCGGCAGTTGGCACCTGCACATTGCTGGTCTTCAGGACTGTGCACAACGCTTCCGCCCCGGTAGTACCAATCCTGAGAGACCGACAACAGCGGAACGCCCATATAATTTCCAGCAAACCGGTGGATTCCCATGAAAATCAGAATAATATAATCAATAGTAACACTATAAAGTGGTCCAGGATAGCAAAGTTGGTAACGCCAATAACTTTAGGATACTTATTTACATATAACATCATATAACTGTAGTATTCATGCGCTTTGTAGTTTGTACACCAACAACATCACTGGGCGGAACCGCATTGTAGGATGTACCAGGACCCAGTTGGCCAGTTGCTTGCGGTTCATCTCTGATGGATCTTCGGGAAAACTGGAGCAACTGGAGCAACCAGAAACGCATAGTTTCAAGATGTTTCAAGTGAACATCGCCAGTTTTCAATGGGTACCTTTATGCTCTAAATATTATTTCTATACGAAAAACAACAGCGCAATAAATAGGATACCCTCTGGTAAACTAACATAGCTATCGAAAATGGCCATTTATAGTGAGTTTTCCCATTAAACATGGTGATTTTCCATAGTTTTTTGTATGTTTACCAGAGGGTACCTTCAGTAATCCAGCATGGCAATCGAAAATCCATTGAGTTCCACGATGTTTACATCTTCTTTACCTCCATAGCCATGACGGATCCGGCTGGTGCTGCTATATTATTAATGCTAACATGACTGAGGGGTATATTGATGGGATCCATGGAGCACCATATATCTGGGTAAATTATAATATTTCGCTAACCTGAATCTTGCGGCCATTTGGGGATGATTTCCCTTACTAACCATATGATTTCAGGGCTCGGTCGGAGGTTGTTATAATTTACCCAGATATATAGCAGCACCGTTAGGATCTGTCATATGGGATAGAGGACTTCCCAGCCACGATGACACTGGATCGCAGTCCCAGAGTCCGGTTGTAGCCAAGGTCCAAGTGTGTCAGCGTCCTTCCCGGACGATATTTAAGGCGGATTGTTTTGGCGGAAGAAAGCACCATTTCAGGGGAGGTTCCCAAATTTGGGGGTACCTCAAAAAAATTGATGGTTTATAAGTTTTATAATCGAACATCCTACTCAAATGGATGATTTGGGGGTATATAGCCCTATGTTAGGACCCCCCATGCATTGGTTACCCTCTGGCAAACTAACATAGCTATGGAACTCCAATTGTTTTAATAGGTAAATCATCTATAAATGGTCCATTTTCAATAGCTATGTTAGTAAGGAAAATCGGGCATTTATCACGCAAAATTGGGAGATACATGAAGAACATAATTTCCGAACCATCAATAGATGGGATGTCATGTCATTATAGTCGCAAATGTAATGGATTATTGTAACAACTGATATGATGGATGATAATCTGATGTTCTACTGACAAGTCTAAGTATGCGGTTAATAATGCACTACACAAGTGAGTGTATGTTATATATATATATATATATATTGTATATATATATAAATATGTAAATCTACTGTATGTACAATGGGATGTAATAAAAGAAACTTGTTTGGTGGTCGTATTTTATTCTGGTGTCAGCCATCCAGAAAGGCTTCATCAACCATTGAAGACTTCAAGCCACTGGGATACCCGCCCTTTTTGAATCAGAGGTTTTTTCACACAGTGCTCCCTACAAAATAGCTCTGTTAAGTATGCCCAATTTTGGATTTATTCAAGCTTGGCCTCAGGCCTGCTGGAGAGAATGCATCATTTGGTGGGTCTGGTTTAATGCTAGCCGCTAGCAACACCAAGTACATAAAATTCACTCCCAAACCTGAAACAAAGCCATTTTGAGTTTTGAGATGATTCTGGATATATTTATGATAGATATATTAATTAAGCAGCTGGAAGTCAAGCTATGTTAAAAGTATTTTGGAATAACCTTGGTGACGTACCGCAGTGTCCTTATGAGGTCGCCAGCAACTTCCATTGTTTTTGTGGCCCAACACTTCCTTCTCTTACCGAGATCAGCCTAAATTTGCCATGTGGGGGTATACATTTATGCGGGATCCCCAAAATAGTTGGTTTGTTATAATATAATGGACAGTTACTAGTATTAAAATGTATGGTCATGAAGCGCTATGTTTTTTTTTGCTGAAATGCTGGTCGCCCTCATCCTCAAACTGAAGAATTGGCTCATCTATTTGCGGGATATGATACCAAAAAATCCTAGCCAAACTCATTATATAACCACTTGTATACCAAAATCACTTGGTGCTTCCAAAACAGTCATAGCCAAACAGGTAGTATGATATCAAATAATTAAGAATTACATATTCCATCATATTCCTGATTTCACTATTTTGGCATGTATACACTTAAACTCATTAAAACCATACCAGAAATTCGACAGGGAGCACCCTGTCAGAATGCACTGGACGGCGCCGGCGCCTGTTATTCATCAGGGCTTTCGCCAGTGCCGCGGCGCCGTCGGGCCGGATGCCGTTCATCCGCAAATCCTTGGGATGTTCTGCTGACAAATGTGAGAATTAACCCATAGGATTTATACCAAGTGGGGCCCCCAAACGATAGCTAAGTTGGTGCAAATAACCTCAAATAACTCCAATAGCTATGGTTTATGGTACTTATATGTACTTATAACATCTTATAACTATACTTACCGCGGCTTATGAACCAACTTATAACTGGGGATTTTTTGGGGGGGGTTCCATAAATGGGGATCCCCATAGCTGGTTTATAATGGAAAATCCCATCTATAAGTGGATGATTTTGGGGTACCCCCATTTCAGGAAACCTCCATATCCTTAGTGAGTTTTTGGTATTTGCTAAAGATATAAGAGTGTCCCAAAGATAGATCCAGTGCGGGTATCTCACTGGTATTCAACACCCAGAAGGTTGTGAAGAAGTCACATCCTGAATGGTGAGGAAGTCTCACTGGCAACCTGCAGGATTTAACCAACAAAGGGGAACAACAGCAGCTTGAATTTTGTTGACCATGAGTGATCAAGATAATACAATGGCGACCAATGTGTTCGTTTCAGGAATCCACTAATCTTTGCAGGAAACATAGGCGTTTTGACCATAAATTGTGGGGGGGTCCTGCAGTGATTTCCGACCATCAATTCTATGAGTTGTCCTTCAAAGAATTCGGGAAATGGAGTAGTTTACCATATACAATACCACATATTCATACACAGACATACACAATATATTCAGCACCACTCAGCGCGACTTGAAAATGGAAGTCTTTGCTCAAGATCAGTACATGTATCATAGTACATAGCATAATTGGCACACAGTGCACATAGGTATGAGTACAGTATATATATAATTATATTTAATATGCGCATACACATTCCTGATATTCATGTGTTTCAATGTAAGCACACACAATTTGTGGGAACTATGAGTCATACAGGATCCTCATGCAAGCTATGGCACAGTTTTTTTATTATTGGCTGGTTTCTATGGGAAAACGGAAACAACATCTTTTCCTTGGCAGTGACTCGAGCGGTTCTACATGGTTCTACTGTAAAATTTGCATCCAATTCTGGGATGGTTGAACAATCCAAGTGTCCAAATGTTGCAAGGTGCACTTGTTGCTCTGTAGGGCCTGCGCGCTGAAACTTGGTCACTGGTTGAGCCATCCATCCCAAGACTAAGCCTCTGGTTATGACTAACATAGCCATGGAAGCCATGGCCCTAATCGAAATAGATGCTTTACCGTTCTTAATAGCATGGTGATTTTCTATAGCTACGTTAAATAACCAGAGGGCATATCAAACTTTGTATCATCATCCCTTAAATGAAGGCCACATATGTTTGAAACCACCAACCAGCAAGAAAACAATCGTGGCCCAGAGGACTAGCAAATCTATGCAAATCTGAAGTTGATGACAAGTCAATCCATAAGCCAAACTGACCACATGGCCATTCAAAACAAATGATTTCAAATCAACAAACTATGCCGACTGTCAGCATGAGAGTCTCTGCATGTGTGGTAGAATGGTTTGGAAAGGCCTGGCGCCTTTATCTCAAACTCACCATTTTCATCAACCAGTTCGAGGGTCAAATTTCTGTTTGACATATGTTGACATCTGGGGTGCACCAAATGGGTATGGGTCAATACCTATAGATACATTTTTAGTGGGATGAACATCCATTTACCAGCTATTTTGGGGTTCACTAGGTACCAGGGTTTTGACCCATCCCCAAATAACTTTCAAATGAATGTTTGATTCCTGAGGCTCAACACCTTAGAAGCCTTGACATTGACTCAGCAGGTAGACGCACCCACATCATGGGGCACCCTTCAGGACCACGGAGGCTGGTTCATGGGATATGGCGTGATAAATCAACCAACTTCTACCTTGGTCCCTGCAGCTGCAGGGGGTTGTTCAGAGCTGTTCCAATGATGGATTGTCATGATCCCTTTTCTGCAAGTTAGTAGAGCCCCAACATTAGTAATCATATGTAATATTAAAAAACACGATTGTTTTTGACTCTGCTATAGGCCTCCCATAAATTCTGCTATGGCTGCCTCAAGCTTGCACTTCCCCGCCTTCTGCGATAAGATTCTGCAGCCCTGCATAGAACATGGGAATGAGGAGGCTGTTGGTGGGATCTGGCACCAAACGGCCGTTTTGAAGGGACACCCAGTAACAATAATTATTATTCATAACCCATAGGATCCATGGTGCTGGTATATATGCTAACATTGGGGGTATATTGATGGGATCCGTGTTACCATATATAGCAGCACCATGGATCCTATGGGTAATAATATAACAATAAAAATAATAATTCTTCCTCGAATTTACCAAGCATTAGTTCTCTATTCCAGAATTGGAGCTTTGTTGTTCGAGGTTTACACAATATGTTGGAAAATCATCGGGATTCTCCTCGTTTTTTCGACATCCGCAATCGGATATCCAGGCCTCATCTTGTAGTTCATTGCTCTCCAAATCCAAGCCTGGATGACAACGGTCACGGTCACTGCACCTCCTTTCAACTTAGACCTCCAATGTTTGTTGGTTAACAAAAATGCCAGGTCAGAAGCTATGACCCAGAAAAAACGGGCTATACTAACTTCATATTGGGCCTTTAAGACCAGGGGGACTGCTCTCCTCCCTTTCCTAACCCTGGACCTGAGCGCACTGCTTACAGCGCCGCGCTACCATGCCGAAATCTAAGGTGCAAAACCTCTACATGGAGTAGTAGAACCAATTGGTTAATACGATTTCACCACTGCCTTTGACATCCTTTGACACCTTGCGTCTAGCGTAAAGACCGCAGCTTCTGCCCAGTCAACTCGCACCCGTAACCTGCAGTCACTGTCTCGCGGCATCTCCACCAAATTCTTGATGATCACATATATGTATACCCTCTGGTAATTTAACATAGCTATTGAAAATGGCCATTTATAGTGAGTTTTCCCATTAAAAATGGTGATTTCCATAGTTTTTGTATGTTTACCAGAGGGTAATTGATAATAATTGCAAGTACGATATCCACACAGATTAATGATGAAAGTACACATCCAAGGCTGACCCACTCATCCCCTGACGAAGATACTACTGTTTGGTTATGTTTGGTTGGTGACTTGGTGATAATCAGGTCAGGAAATGATTTAACATCAAGACAACATAGTTGATCGAAACCGCCAAGTCAAGAGATGTTAGAGATGTTGACATTATGTTGAAGATATCTTCGAGAGCGAAAGTCAACTCATGTCAGCATGTTTCAAGTTAACACCAAACTACCTCCAAGTGCAGGTTGGTGATGTTTTTATAATTGCAAAACAAACCAATATTACCATTTATACACTAGACTAAACACCAAGAAGAGGCCCGCAGTTTCTAAGTTGGTTAGCAACATTCTGTAACCCTACCAAACTATAGATATATCCACCAAACGTCCTAGCTAGCCTACACAAGTAGTGGGTTCAAGATTTTATACCCCCATCAAACTATCCACCATAAGTTCTAGTTAGCCTACTTCAAAACCAACTTACTTCACAGTATCATTTAGTATCTTAGGAGGAATCAAAGTAGAATGCTGATGAACTTAGTGGCAGGCCGTTAACATGAAATTGGCCTGAACGCATGCACTGGGCATTGCCAATGCAACAAAGGAAAACGCAATGAAGGAAACACTTAGGATTTGCTGCCAAGTTTGCAGCAAATCGCTGAAAACTGAACTGGTGGGTGTCAATCTCATCATCCCTGTAGCGTAGCTGATGATGATGTCTGAAAACATGGTTGGTTGCTACCTTCACACCTATTAGTTATTGGATGTTATTGGTGATCATATTCCCAAACCCACCAACCAGATCATCATTGGTTATATGCCCAGAAAACGTCCCATTTTAGATGCTTAAACTAGGCCAAGCCATCCATGTTAACATGTGACCCTCTACATCATTAGGTTATACCTAAATCACATAAATCACATCCCCATTTTCCATTCACAAAATTTTTGACGTTTGCGATGTGGAAAACCACTGCTTTCCCGTTCGGTTTTAATCATCGACCTGATGGCTGATGCCATTCTGGGGTGCCAACTAATCAGATCCATCCTAAATCATATCCCAGTTATAAGTCCATCAAAATCCATTCAATATCCATTAAAACAGACATCAAATTCCATTGAACATCCATTAAACATACATTAAAAACCATTCAATATCCACTAAAATCCATGAACATCTCCAGAAACACGTCCCAGAAACGTTGCAGCTTCATCTTCAGCACCAGCTCCGCGGCCAGTTGTGCTCCTTTGGATCCCAAACCGTTGGCGCCCAACCTGGGCTTGGCAGAAACAAAAAACGGATGGAAAACACTGGATTTCTTCATGAATTTGAGGGATTTCTATGAGAATTCTATGGAATTTCTATGTGTTTTTTTGATTTTTATAGTATTTCTATGTCATTTCTATGGTTTTTTTATTTTTATAGTATTTCTATGTGATTTCTATGGTTGTTTTTTCCCCACCTGCCAGGTGAGGGTTGTTAGATTTTATGTCAGTTGCCTCCTCCTCCTGCCGCCTCCTGCCTCCTGCCTCCTCCTCGTCCTCCTCCTCGTCGTCCTCCTCCTCGTCGTCCTCCTCGTCCAACTGCAACCCGCGATCCACAGTGTTCTCTGTCGGACCTCAACCACGACCATCCATGCTCAGTGTTCCCTGCCGGACCTCAACCACGACCATCCACGTCAGTGTGCCCTGCCGGACCTCAACCACGACCATCCACGCCCAGTGTTCCCTGCCGGACCTCAACCACGACCATCCACGCCCAGTGTTCCCTGCCGGACCTCAACCACGACCATCCACGCCCAGTGTTCCCTGCCGGACCTCAACCGCGAGTATCCACGCCAAGTGTTCCCTGCCGGACCTCATGTAGGAAGATAAAATGTCAGATAGAGTGCCAGAAGATTTGCCAGGTAGAATGCCAGAAAATATGCCAGAAGATATGCCAGATAGATATGCCAGAAGATATTTCAGAAGATATGCCAGATAGAATGCCAGATAGAATGCCAGATAGAATAGAAGTAGAATATATGCCAGAAGATATGCCAGATAGAATGCCAGATAGAATGCCAGAAGATATGTCAGATAGAATGCCAGAAGATATGCCAGATAGAATGCCAGAAGATTTGCCAGATAGAATGCCAGAAGATATGCCAGATAGAATGCCAGATAGAATGCCAGAAGATATGCCAGATAGAATGCCAAATAGAATGTCAGAAGATATGTCAGATAGAATGCCAGAAGATGTGCCAGTAAGAACATGTATAAATGTCATGGTGGGGATCACACGAAGTAAAGTAATTTGATTTTTATAGTATTTTTATGTGATTTCTATGGGATTGTTTGATTTTTATAGTATTTCAATGGAATTTCCATGTTTTGTTTATTTTTGTGGGATTTCTATGGAATTTCTAAGGGATTTCTACGGGATTTCTGTGGAAATTCTATTTATTGATAAGATTTAGTGGGATTTAACAAATTGGACATGGATTTCGATGGATTTCAATGGAGGCTGATAGATTCTGATGAGATTTAATGGAACAAGTACCCAGATTCAATCTTTGATGGAACATATACTTGGACTCCATGGATGATTGAATGGGATTTAATGGGAATTAGTGGAATTTAAGCCACTAAAAAGGTGGAACCATCCCAATTATGAGCCATTTGTGGGTCATTTTACATCTTCCATAGGGGTACATACCCAATACTATTATATATATTTGATTTGTTCAAACCACCCCATTGACTTTTGCCACCAAACATCTCGCATGTCAAATCCGAAAACAATGGAAAATAATCCCAACTTAAATTCATGATAGTTAAGTTGGTGTACCATCCCCAACCGGGGCTTGTTTTTGGGGAAAAACCCCTATGGAAGATGTAAAATGACCCACAAATGGCTCATAATTGGGATGGTTCATTCATTATTGAAAGCTGCAGGAGGAGTTTGTGATTAGTGAAGGGAACACATGAAAAAATAACCATAATCAATATGGCCATACTTCGGGTTGGTTTACTTTGCATAGGTGAACATTGGCAAAACAAGCAACCATGGAGATTGGAAAAAAAACTAGATATAAGTTACAGTACATATATATATAATTATATATATACTTGATTAATTATACTTGTATGTGGGGGTATCTGAAAAGGATGGATCCCCAAGTCACCATGGATTTCAGAACTAAAAATGATCTCAGTTTGCTTCAATGGATTGGTTTGTTGGGGAAAATTTACAGGAACACCACATGATCTTCATGGGAAAATAACTCTGGTTTCCGGTTAAGATTTTCCCTTAAACCAATCCATTGTTTGGTTGGGCCTCGGGGCTACACCGGCTACATGCCGAGCTGCGAAAGTTGCGCCAGCCCGCCAACTCCAACGCCAAAACCGTCATCGCTGGGCGTCCGTGAGGTACAGAACTGCGAGGAAAAGGCGTAGAGACCTTCTAACAATGGCGGCCACGGGGAAGGCCAAAAAACAGGCCTTCCAATTCAAGGGGAAATATGCCATTTTGGCCTATGATATTCCACTAATAGTCACTATATCCTCAGATTTGTTAATGATAATTATATAAACACACTGGATAAGGAAAACCAGCAGGTTTCCTAAGGAAAATCATCAAGAAATGGTGCGGTGTTCCATATCTATGTTACTTTACTGGAAGGTAGCCAAACAAGTAATCATCGTCTACTCACTGCAAAAAAAAACGTGTGACCTTCCAGCAACCACAACGTTGTTTCTTTTTGCTAGCAAACAGGGATTCTGTTTACAAAATCATCTGGAATAAACCGAGACCTTCAACTGTAAAGGCCAACAAATCCCAAGGGATTCCATTGAAATAGAGGGGATTCCATATCTTCAAACAATTCAACTGAAGCCCGAAAGGTTGCTGGTTTCACTTAGGATCCCAAAAAAAACCCTGGTGCAGGTGGTTCCGCGGCATTGAAGACCGGTGATATCGTCTGAAACAAATCATGTTTCTTGTAGTATCCATGGCGACCCCATTAATACAACCATTGATAGTTCTTGAAACTTCATATCAATTGTCATTTATATATACATAATATATATATATATATTACAGTAATATCCCAGTGATATCCATTGTAATTTCATTAATATACCACTAGTGACAGGTGATTTTTCCGAAACTCTCCGCTGAGGCTGACACCTAAAGCACCCAGCTGGCAATAGCATAAATCCAAGCCTTTGCGCGAACGAATGGGGCCAACTTCACGAAGAACCATTTTTGGTTCTTTGGGCCCCGATATGGGCCTCCTAAAGAATCAACGACACGAGGTTTAACATGGTTTAACGAAGCACGCAATCCAGATATCAACAGTAATGAAGATCCATGGATCCGTAAAATGAGGCTCTTATAGTTACCGGAAACTCCATGTATCAATGGAGCATTCCAGCCCCACCCAAAGGTGCAGTTGAAGTGATGGGTAAGATGGTAACCATGGTGATGACCTCCATAAAATGGGATAATATATATATATACCCGCTGGTAAACTAACATAGCTACTGAAAATTGTCCATTTATAGTTGTTTTAGCTAACGCCGCCCGTAGAGACGCGGGGTTTTTTAACGTTTTTTACTGCGTTCATACTTTTTGTGGGTTGTCTGGGTGGGGGG